GTCCAAGACAACTTCTCAGCCCTGAACTGAGCATAATGAAGAAGGCTGAGTGCTGACAGGCCTGCAGTAGTTCTCCTCCGCCCTTATTTTTATTCATCCTCAGACATTGTCGACTTTCTCATGAATGCACAGTCGGTTCCTCAGCAGCACAAGCTTCCAAATTCTCTCCTTTTCCAAGTGATTTTTTTCTGAGCAAACATTTTGCAGAGTCAAACCTTTGTTTCCAGGTGGCATTGATAACTGTGTACTTATTTTAGAATATGAAATAATGTGAGAGAAAATGGAGAAGAGCAAAATATGATAGAAGCTAGATCTTTTTGTGAATAAAAATGTATCAGAATGTCTTCTTTTCCTAGTGTAGTGGTCCCAGTAGCTCACTGTGTTACATCTGACTTTTACATCATTCAAATAATTCCTAGAGCCTTTTAGAAGAGATTTGAATTTGGTGAAAATTTTTGTGTAATTTGGAGGAGCAGACAAGTGGAGTCTTATGAGCTGGTTTATTCGCGGGGCTTATTAGTATGATTAATTAATTAAAACCCTTTTGATAAATATGGTAGGGTAGTTAAGCTTTAAGGAGGCATAAGAGAGTTAAGTATTCAGAGTACAGACTGTTGAAAGGTCCCTTGGAAATCAAGAGTGCAAGAATAAACACAAAACCAGTAAGGGACTGTTTTGTGGGGTGTGGGAGTATGTGCGAAGCCCCTAGGGTTAGGTCCCCCTCTATTTACCTATACTCCGTCCTTAGGTCAGCTCATCTAGCTGTATGGATGAACATGTTGCTATAGGGTCACTATGACTTGGAACTGGCTCAGTGGCAATGCGTTTATACACAGAAAGAATCCCTTGTTGAAGTAGATGGTTATTTGCTTGGCTGCTACCTGAAAGGTTGGAGGTATGAGGAGTCCACCCGGAGGTGCCTCAGAAGAAGGCCTGGTGATCTACTTCTGAAAAATCAGCCACTATGAGGTGCACTTCTACTGTGACACACATGTGGTCACCGTGAATCAGAGTCAACTAGATGGCAACTGGTAAAGCAGTGTATGTAGATAACTCTCAAGTCATACCCAACTGCACATCTGACATCTCCTCTTGGATGTCCAATGTTATTGTTGTTGTGTACCGTTGAGTCAGTTCTGACTCACAGTGACCCTACAAGACAGAGCAGAACTAACCATCTTCAAATTAGAAGATTAAAAACAAATTTTTTTTCTTTTTTTTTTTTGCAGAAAGTATTGCTTAGAATGACTATTTTTTAATTGTGCTTTAGATGAAGGTTTACAGAGCAAATTAGTTTCTCATTAAACAATTAAGGTACACATTGTTTTGTGACACTGGTTGCCAACCCCATGACATGTCAACACTCACTCTCCCCTTCTCGAACTTGGGTTCCCTGTTACCAGCTTTCCTGGTCTTTTGTGTGTGTGTGTTAGAATTTTTTTCTACAGTTTTCTCTAGCTCTGTCCAGGACCCTCTATTGTGAGAGTCGGTGGTGGTAGCAGCTGGGCACCACCTAGTTGTGCTG